CCCCAAAACCCCAAAACCCCAAAACCCCGCGCTTCATATATAAGGGATTTAAAATAGAGATGCATCTTAAAAATAAAGTATTTATCTAATATGAGAGCTCTCCAAATAATCCTCTTCGTGTATCTTGGAATTTCTGCAGTTTGTTTGATTAAGGTACCAAATAAATAATACCTTCAAGCACAACTAAAAAACATGCTTGATCAGTCGCCAGATTCTGGCGCAGTAACTTAAGCTCCTGCAGCAACTAATTAAGCCCCAGTGACTACATCTGATTAATCATTAACTCCAGTACCTACCACTAATGGAGCTGCAGGTGCTACAACTGTAGCAGCTTCTGTAACAACCTAAGCTCCAGTCCCAGCAACTACAAAAACTGCTATTATTACTAATGATGTTGATAAAGATCTCACTGTATCAGATGATGTAGTAAAATCTGTTGAGGAAGGTAAATTTGCCTTTTTCTTAGTCTCTGACAAAACATCAGTATATGCCTATGATCCAATTACAGGAATGAAGATCCAGACTATAGTTAAGGGTCTCGTTAATATTGCAGATGTTGCCATCGACAAAGATAGAAATTATCTTTTTGTAGCAGATCAAGTTGCATTAGGAACTCCAAATAAAGCCGTGGTAATGAAATATCACTTAGGAGTTGATGCAAAAAATAGATCTAATGTCATAATTAGCGTCTTACCAAACTAAACTTATCAAGTATATTCAGGTGAAAGAATCACTGGTCTTGCCGTTGACGACGATGTGCATGCTATTTTTGTTGCAGATTCAGACAAAAAGTAAATCATCGCATTAGGATTCAAAGATAGGACTAAACCAAGCGGTATTTCTAAGATTCTCTACTAAAATTTACCTTAATTATCAAATCTCTAAGGAGTTGCTTGTGATGAAGATCATGAGCTAGTCTTTTGGGGAAATATCAAGGATGGCGCTAAAAATGGAGGAGTCGTACAAGCATCATACTCTGGTGATGCTAAGTCAGTCAAAACACTTAATAATCTTGATATTGTTAATGATATCGCATTTGAAGATGATTAACTATACTACATAGCCAATTCTAATACTATTTATACTTAAGATCATGAGAAGAAAGATACAAAGCCAATTTTGGTTAATGACAAATTCTTCAGTAATGCCTTCGCTATCAACTCACTTGATGGCTTCATCTATGTGACTGATGAAAAGCTTGGATTATATGTTATTAAGACCTACGACGAAGACTAGCCATTTGATGCACCAAAAAAGATTGATGTAGGCGCAAGCATTACCGATTTAAGAGCCATCACTGTTTTCATTACTAAGGATGCATATAACATTATGGTTAGCATCTTCACACTCTCACTAGTAATGACTTCATTTATCTTCTGATTTTGAAGTATAGGTAATCACTTTTACTTTACTTTTTTATTTCACTTTAAGAATTTATCTTTATTGCTCGTATTCCATCAATAATGCCATCATGGGGTTTTGGGGTTTTGGGGTTTTGGGG